AAATGGGCCAACAAATAGAAGAATGAATAAAACTAAATATTTCTAAAAGCAATTTTTGTATTAATTTTATTATTTAGGCATCATCATTGAGTTTTCTTGCTGAACAAGGCTTTGATTTCAATAAACTTGTAAATGAAGGTTAGTATTATTTCATTTTATGTTAATAATTAACATTAAAGTTAATATAAAACATAAAATTGCTAACTTAATAATTATTTGAAATTTTTAGAGAATGAGCTTGTAAATATATGTTGTAACTAAAAATGGAACCAAATGTAATTAATGAATATTTCTGAAATCACCAGATAACAGTAGATCTATGCTTGCAATCTTGTAATTTCAGTAATTCATGTGAGAAGCTGCCTGGGTTAGATGTTAGTACTCAACCCTTTTGTGGGTGAGAGTGTTATCACTCCTCACCCTTATGCAACGTTGGACTGGTAAAGTCCACTCACTTTGTCACTGGATGGCTTTACTAATAGGTTTCTTGTTTTTATTCTAGGAGTCACTTAATTTTTAAATGTTTTTTAATACAGTTTAAGGCTAGTTGATTGTTATTATACGGTAAGTTCTTGAAGTTGTTTCGTACAATAAACATCAGCCCATTTAAGGTTGACTTAAGATCTTCTGATCTTAAATGGGCTGATGTCTTTTGATCCTGCCTATTCAATTGTCAGGAAATGGTTGGGATCCTTTTGGAGGAGGAGATGGGAGATGGTTGGAAGCTTGGCCTCTGGCTTCTCAAGGAGGGACTCAAATATCTGTCCCTGTTATCTCACAAACCCTCCTCCAATTGGGTGGTGTAACTCTCTTGTGAGGTATGATTTCTCAACAGGAAGATGATGTATAAACAATGGAAGGTGTTATTTCCTTTTATCACTAACTATCTCACATATAAACTTGTGTGCTTTTTCTTTCCCACATATTAATTTAATTAAAATATTGCCTCCTTCTCCAGATCCTCACATTCCTTCTCCAGATCCTGTATTAGTTACAGTTATAATTGATATTAACTTAAAACTAGATGATTATTGATTATTTTTATATTTAAGAATACAAAACACTTTATGGATTGATTAGTTTACATAATGGTGTAATAAAATATCAGTTCTGGACCTTCTGTGACTGACCATTGATCAAACCTATTGATCAAATTATTTCACAGCACAAAATATTAAATTCTTTAAGTTGTAGTAAAACATAGGATTTAAAGATTGGGCTGCAATTTAAAAAACTTGTAGCTATATAAATTCCCGCTGTTGTCCATCTTTCTGTCTGTCCGTTTTTTTTAAGCTCAAGAACAGAATTAGATAGTTGAAAGTCGAGATTAGATATGGAAAACATAGACACTGGAGAACCTAATTAATTATATATGAACTTCCAGTTTGGACTGAAAGTTACGTTATTTCAATTAAAAAATTTTCCCCTGTAAGGAATTAGACAGATAGCTGGCACAACTCTATTGCTAACAGGATAAGTGATGTACAGGGGCAAGACACTACTAAAACATTGAGAACATTGTGACAAAAAATTGCAACCTAGCATTGTGACAATATCACAATAAATAATTGCTCATTTACAATTACAATTAATTTATTCAGTTTTGTAATTTTTATTTTAGTTANTGCCTCTAACCTGTGTGTAGAAATATAAAAATAAATAATTTTGTAAAAACAAACATTTTCCAAACACCTTCCATGTTCTTCTTCAGGTAAAATGGTTGGATTCCTTATTCCCGAACATCATAATTTTTTAAAAAGAGAAATTCGAACGATGAATGAAAGGAACACGACAAATACAATGCATGCGCAATAGATATCGCGCAATTGAAACATTGTTCGAATTTCTCTTTTTAAAAAATTGCGTGACAGTGTTCGGGAATAAGAAATCCAACTGTTTTACCTGAAGAAGAACATGGAAGGTGTTTGGAAAATGTTTGTTTTTACAAAATTATTTATTTTTGTATTTCTACACACCGGTTAGAGGCACGAGTAAGTACGTTTTTCTTTAGTTTTTATATTTTTAATTCATAAGATTTTTTTTAATGTAAGATGTTCATGTGATAAGAATGTCTTCATAAAATTCTGTAGAAATTAATAGCCCAAAAGTTTCTTAAATTTACAATAATTTGTAAATTATAAGTTTTAACCAAATATCTTACTTAGCTTCTTAAATAATAAATCATCCAATACCTGATGCTGAGAAAAACATTTATTTAAAGAAACATTAACATTTTTGACCCAATATGATAGGCCATCTTCAGATGCAAGTATTCTCAAATGTATTTAACTTAATATTTAAATGTCAGAACATTTGAATACTTTTATGTTAAAATCAAAATACTGGATAAAATGACAAATTAATAATAAACTAAACAAACTAATACAATACTAAACAAACTAATACAATAATGATGTAAATAATGTACTAGATCATTGGCAATGCATGAAGAAAAATTGAAATATACAAACAGCCGTATATTTGAAACCCACACATGTTCCTTTATACATACCTTCATGGTCGAAGGACCCGTATAAACATAAACTAACTGTGTTTAAGGCACTTATCAAAAGGGCCTTCTTGTACTGCACCAATGTGTAAGACCGGAACAAGGAAATTGATAGAATTCAAAAGGTGGCAAGGAATTTAGGATACAAAATGTCCACAATCAGAGGCCTTATCAAGAGCTACGGTAAACAAAAAACTACAACTGCAACGTATAATAACACTATTGCATTCAACAAGTTAATATACAATGAACAAACAAGAAAAGTAGTGAATGAGTTGGGAAAATACAAAAACATAAAGATAATTTACAAACGAGCACCCAATATATATATATTATTAAGGAACGATAGAAAATTAGAATGGAAGAGCAAGTGGGGGTGTATAGTATTCCTTTTGAGAACCAACAATTAGGAATTGATAAAGAGTATATAGGGGTGACCAGAAGAAACCTTATAGTACGTGTAAAGGAGCACAAATATAGTGTTAATAAAGGACTCAATAGCACAGTATTGGCAGGTATGACAGAGTCAGACGGAGCAGTAGTCAAATGGGATGAAGCGAAGATTGTTAGAACGAGGAACTCACTGTTCATCACGATGGAAATGGAAAAAATAGAGATTTGCAAAAGTAAAATGAGAGACCGATGCCTAAATGCAAAAGATGCAAATGCATTATCAATGGCTTGGAAATACAAAATTGAAAAAAGTATGGGTTTTAATAATCCATAAAAATATGATCTAGAGATTATAGGAATTAATATTTGGACTCATTTAAATTTGATATAATTTTTGTTTTTTGTTTTTGTTTAGTTGCAATGTGTACTATTTTTAGTTAGTTATTTATTTACTCTTGTATATACATAAGTTGTTAAAATGTTCAAATTCAAATGAAATAAAATCGAACAAATTAGTTCCATTTGGAACAATGAATGTAAAAGCCTGAAGATGGCCTATCCAAATAGGCTGAAAATGTTCGGAATAAAGAAAAAACTTGGCAAATAGAAATCATGTGTTTCTTAGTGTAAGTAACTAATATTTCTGAGAAGGAGATAGATAGGTGTCATTTACTGTTTCAACTTTTAAAAAAAGTTAAAAAATCTACTACTATAGATGATGATGATATATTTATTCTAAATTTTTGAAAATTTTCTTTTGTCAATTGTTTTGTCAATTTGTCAGTAAATTTTTGGTTTTTTTAATTAATTTGATGACATAATAATTTGATTTTGTATTATAGAATTTACATCTCAATATTTCAATTCCAGCACTTCTATAAGTAGCATTTAAGGCAATATAATAAAATATGGTAGCAAGAAAGAAAAAGTTTCAGTTTAAGTTTGTTTAAACTTATTTCTATGTTAAATAATTAATGATAAATAAACTTTACAAAAACTAACAAATCACCACGTATTTATCTTTTAACATTTACTTGGATATAATTTCATTATAAACAAGAGTGTTCTTTTCAGTTTCATATTTTTATTTTTGATAGTTTATGTTAAATTCTGTAATAATTGAAATTACTATTGTAGTTTTCAATTAAATTCAATTTTATATGTAATGTGTGTTCAATAAATTTACTGGTTTATGTTCTTGTCAAAATTACAAGGAGTAAATATTTATTTTCAAGTTATGATATTTAATTTAAGTAAATCAGTTTAGTATAAAAAATGAAAAATGCATCATCAAAAATATAAAAATGAATATAGTTTTATATTTTTAAAAATTTTGCCAACTTTTACTAAATTGTTCTGCAGGCTATAAGTTGTATTCAGTGATATAAATAAACAGTTTTAATTATATATAATAATGTTTAATTTTTAATTCAGTATACATTGTGTTATTATCTTTCAGATTGTCAGTAAATATGCTGTAATTCAATATGGAGTATGCTATTTTACTTATAATTCTGAATCTAAAAAGTAAGCTTTAAAATTAAAAAAATGTGTTTTTAATTTTTATTTTTGGTTTAAATGAAAATGTACTTATGTAATTAATTAATTTTTAATGCTTTCTGTATTTTATTGCTTAATACTTTATATTTTATATAACCATATTTTTAATTATTATATTATAAAAGATAAAAATATTTCTTTTAGTGTTAAACTAATGTCATAATATCACAATATTTATTTATTTTTAAACACTTTTCAAAAAGAAAATAATAATAATTCCTTGACACTATAAATTTATTCCATCTAGGCATAAGAAACAAAGCAAATAATTTTGAAATATATCTTTTGCACACTATCTTTAAAAATTTGATTATTTAACTTTGATTTTAGTTTGGGAAATATAAAAAGTTATAATTAATATTTACTCCTTTCTATTTCTATTATAAAAAGTTATAATAGAAATATCAAAAAATTATTAAAATAGTAAAATGTAGTCCTTTTTTTTAGTAATTTAAATAATAAAATGCATACTGAAATATATGTTTCAGAGTTTTTGCTTTAGATGAGAGTCTAAATATATTGTTCCAGTTTACTGTTGTGGTTTTGAAGTGTTTTTGCTTTTGGAATTCTATAAGAATTAGTCATGTTTGATACATTTTTGACTTTATTTATGTCTGAAAAAGTTTCTACTAGTATGCAACATTTTACATACTAGGATTAATAAAGGATTAATACATATTAATACATTTTCTCTTGTTTGATAAACATGTATTAGTGATGTTTTTAGTTTATAATTCTTTGCAAATTTATGATCTTTGCCAGTTTATACCTAAAAGTTTTATTTTGAAACATACTTTGATAATTTTGATAAAAATTATCAAACTCTGTTTCAAAATGAAACATATAGGTATAAAAATCTGTTATAAATTAAAGAGGAATGATAGTTTCTTAGTTTCAACTATTTTTAGTGATTGAATGCATATGTTCTGATGATTACAATATGGAAAATTCTCAGTAATAATAGTAGTATGTTTTTGAAATTTTAATTAGATATTTAAATAATTTATTGTCACTTTAGTCATGTTAAAAACAAAGAAGTAAAATATGATAACAACATAATAGTTATTGATTAATATAGCAGATCATGAAAAACATTTTCATTTTTTCAAAAATTAATATAATTTGCACATATTGGATGAAATTAAATTTTTACAGCATATCCCCCCATATTTTAATATTCTGATTTGTTTAATTACACTTAACTTTTAAGTATCGGAGTATTAACTCCGATACTTAAAAGTTTAGTATAATTAAACTTGTGTTCTTGATGAAAAGATACTCATTAAGAATAAGTATTTTGTTGTTAAACTTTTGATTACTATTATGATTTGCTTACATTTTATTGATTAGTTAAAGGATATTAGTTTTAAATTAAAATATATATATTAGTTTATTTATTAAATTGAATATTAATAACTAATTAATATTTATTAAAGTTTATAAATTGAATTTAAAATGTATTTTATATTTTTAGATATATTTATAAACCATTTAACTTCTATGTTTTTCCTCATTCATTAATCTCTTATGGACATGACCGTAGTTTTAATTGTCAGGTGAGTTATTTTTTATAAAATTATTTAATATTTAATGTCTGTCTGTCAAATTATTTTTTATGAATAAATGTTGATTTGAAATTTAATGTAGAAAATTTATTAATAATTGGAAGAATATATCATTTATTGTGTAAAAGTTTCTAAGCTTTAGTCTAACTATTGTTTGATGTTGTTTAGCAATTAGTCATTGAAAAATTTTCACCTTGGATATCTCAGTATAACAATTCACATTTCAGAAAAAAGAAGTTGAATATTCTTAGTAAATAAAACTAGTAAATAATGAATTAAAATTTAAATATTATTTATTACTTCTGTTTTTTTTAAAACTGATAATCATAAATTAAAATGTTTGATAATAGAGAAGGTGATGATGGCTAAATAAAACTGAAAGTATTATAATAGCAAAATTAATGTGAAATTTTGATTGATTAAAAGGATGATATAAGATTAATATTTTTAAAATAAAGTTTATAAAATTGTTCAATTAAAAAATAAAACTTAATTAAAGAATGAATAAAACTAAATATTTCTAAAAGCAATTTTTGTATTAATTTTATTATTTAGGCATCATCATTGAGTTTTCTTGCTGAACAAGGCTTTGATTTCAATAAACTTGTAAATGAAGGTTAGTATTATTTCATTTTATGTTAATAATTAACATTAAAGTTAATATAAAACATAAAATTGCTAACTTAATAATTATTTGAAATTTTTAGAGAATGAGCTTGTAAATATATGTTGTAACTAAAAATGGAACCAAATGTAATTAATGAATATTTCTGAAATCACCAGATAACAGTAGATCTATGCTTGCAATCTTGTAATTTCAGTAATTCATGTGAGAAGCTGCCTGGATTAGATGTTAGTACTCAACCCTTTTGTGGGTGAGAGTGTTATCACTCCTCACCCTTATGCAACGTTGGACTGGTAAAGTCCACTCACTTTGTCACTGGATGGCTTTACTAATAGGTTTCTTGTTTTTATTCTAGGAGTCACTTAATTTTTAAATGTTTTTTAATACAGTTTAAGGCTAGTTGATTGTTATTATACGGTAAGTTCTTGAAGTTGTTTCGTACAATAAACATCAGCCCATTTAAGGTTGACTTAAGATCTTCTGATCTTAAATGGGCTGATGTCTTTTGATCCTGCCTATTCAATTGTCAGGAAATGGTTGGGATCCTTTTGGAGGAGGAGATGGGAGATGGTTGGAAGCTTGGCCTCTGGCTTCTCAGGGAGGGACTCAAATATCTGTCCCTGTTATCTCACAAACCCTCCTCCAATTGGATGGTGTAACTCTCTTGTGAGGTATGATTTCTCAACAGGAAGATGATGTATAAACAATGGAAGGTGTTATTTCCTTTTATCACTAACTATCTCACATATAAACTTGTGTGCTTTTTCTTTCCCACATATTAATTTAATTAAAATATTGCCTCCTTCTCCAGATCCTCACATTCCTTCTCCAGATCCTGTATTAGTTACAGTTATAATTGATATTAACTTAAAACTAGATGATTATTGATTATTTTTATATTTAAGAATACAAAACACTTTATGGATTGATTAGTTTACATAATGGTGTAATAAAATATCAGTTCTGGACCTTCTGTGACTGACCATTGATCAAACCTATTGATCAAATTATTTCACAGCACAAAATATTAAATTCTTTAAGTTGTAGTAAAACATAGGATTTAAAGATTGGGCTGCAATTTAAAAAACTTGTAGCTATATAAATTCCCGCTGTTGTCCATCTTTCTGTCTGTCCGTTTTTTTTAAGCTCAAGAACAGAATTAGATAGTTGAAAGTCGAGATCAGATATGGAAAACATAGACACTGGAGAACCTAATTAATTATATATGAACTTCCAGTTTGGACTGAAAGTTACGTTATTTCAATTAAAAAATTTTCCCCTGTAAGGAATTAGACAGATAGCTGGCACAACTCTATTGCTAACAGGATAAGTGATGTACAGGGGCAAGACACTACTAAAACATTGAGAACATTGTGACAAAAAATTGCAACCTAGCATTGTGACAATATCACAATAAATAATTGCTCATTTACAATTACAATTAATTTATTCAGTTTTGTAATTTTTATTTTAGTTAAAATAAAAATTACAAAAATGAAAATGAGTTTCAATTAAGAAAGTAAGTCTGAAATTTTAGAATAGAATTATTAAAAACTTGGAATGATTTACTCCTTTAATAGTAATATAGTTATAAAATAAGTAANATTTAAACGAAATGAAGTGTAATAAAGAGTAAATCAAAGAAGAAGAAACTTTTCTAGAATATTCTCTTTGAATTTCTCTGAATACTGTTTAAATTATATTTAAAATGTATTGAATATGGTATACATTAACTTAAAACAGACGAATTTCAGATGATAAAATATATATTTTTGTAAAATTAAACGTTACGATTCATTCATAATACATACCACGTGTTAAGCAGCGTTATTGTTCTTTCTGATAAGTCTTGTTTTTAAAAATAAAATTATGAGGAAAATTTTATATTTTTTTCAGGTATATCCTATTTAAATGTAGAAGAAGAAGAACGAATTAAAACAAAAATAGTTGAAAAACAAGAAGAAAGATTGAGACAGAATGCTATGTCATCAAAATCAACAGAAAAAGAACCAATGCAAATACCAGAGGATCAACAATCGTTTATTGATGACATATTGTAAGAAATGATTTTGTGATGATTGTGAATGTTACTATGGGTTTATGCGCCATAAGCTTAAATCAGTTATGTCTTTTAAAATGTGTGTATATATGTATACATACACATATTTTAAAAGACATAATTGATCATATATGCAAATATATAAATATATACACATACACACTTTTACCTGTTCCACGGATCAATCCAATGTTGATGAGATGAAACATTTTGTAAGAGTTTGAGGAATCCAAGGTTTGCTGAATGTATGCTAAAAAAACTTCTTGAGTTATTGGTTTTTTTCTTTATCACAAATCACATTTCAACAGACTGCTTCAATGTTGTTATGAATTTCTATAATAATATAGATCTTTCTTGGGCATCCTGTACTCTAAAATTTAGTCTCTGAATTTTTTTTCTTAAAGTCCAGATTAACTTATTATAAATGTTAAACTTAATATATACAGTATAAGCTATATTTATCAAATTTAAAACTACAGTGGAATCTTGCTTAACGAGTGTCATTTGTTCCAGAATCTTACTCATTAAGCAAAACAATTTTTTCCATATAAATTAATGTAAAATATGATAATGCATTCCATGCCAAAAAAAAAAAACTACTTAAATAGTTTATGTATAACATTTATTCAAAGAAAATTATATGATATACATTGTTAAGCAGCATGAATCATCATCATCTTTTCTTCTAGCATGGAATGAACCAACCTGGAATGTGAATTCAATTTGCAGAAATTAAAAAAATTTGTCTCATAAACAGCAAAATGATATGCCAAATTTTTGGGCTATATAAAGGAGGCTATAATTAAATATTAGAAATTAATTAATTTGACTAGAAGTAGGTAGTTATGCTTCCATCTTATATTAAATTTAATAATTATAAATAAACAAATTCTTAATTTAGACATTTCTAAAATTTAATTTGGAATTTGTCATTAAATTTAATACAAGATAGCAGCATAACTGCCTACCTCTAGTCAAATTAATCAATTTCTAATATTTAATTATAGTCGTTACATAGCCCAAGAATTTGGCATATTATTTGGTGTGTTTTTATATAATGGACTATCGTTGTTGATGTTTATTTATATGTAATATGTGTGAACACAAGTTTGGAAAAATGTGTAATCACAATCAACACTAAGATGCTAGCAGAACAAGTGCTAAACACAGACTGATGGAGCATGCGCACAATCCAGGACTTTCCCTCTCCTTGTTAAGTGAGTGATTTTTACAATTACATCATCACTCGTTAAGCGAGTCATTTTTTTACAATTTGTTTTGCTCATTAAGTGAGGTTCCACCAGAGGCGGACTAAGGCTAAAGCGGGCCCTAGGCAACATTGTAATTCCGGGCCTATTTTTAAAATTAAAAAATTAAAAACCTAATTTTTGGGGCCCCAAAAATTACGGGCCCTAGGCACGTGCCTAGGTTGCCTAGGCCTTAGTCCGCCCCTGGGTTCCACTGTATATTTTATAAACTTAGTATCTTTAAACAGTTATTTCCTAATGACAACACAGAATGTAAAGAAAAGTAGAAAAAGAAAAAAATTTAATTCACGCAAGACATTTCAAATAAAATTTATTAATACATTCACTACTGTTTTAGATAGAAGATGGAATTGTGACATGTGAAATATTATAATTTGTTAAATGTGCATTATATAACTAATTTGATTTTTTATTTTTATTTGAAAGAACAAAAAATGAGTGTAGAGCATTATCTAGGTTTAGCATGTTGGTACAAATTAAATTTTTTATTAAGTTAAATTAATTTTAAAACTCTACTTGTAATCTATTGAGGGCTTACCCCTGGTAGCATAAGAGGTCCAACTATCTACTGGCTTCACTTATTTGTTTCCAACATAGACTATTCATAAAAATTTTAATACATACTGTATATTTTCACCTGTGTATATACATATATATATTATACAGGTGAAAGTATATATATATATATACAGGAATATACAATGCTGGCTATCTTTATCATTATCTTTAAATGAATAAAAGATCATTTAAAGATAATGAAAAAGAGAACATGTAATATGTTCCCTTAACATGTCTTAGTTAAACATGTCAGGAATAGAGAAATGTGTTCAAATAAGTCCATTCCACTATGAAGATGACAACAATTACTATTCATTGAAGGTTGAGTTAGTAAGACATCATGAAATAGAGTCTAGCAAAAATATCTGTGGAAGAACAATGTGCAAATATTAAATTTTGTGTGTTATTTGGAAAAAACCCTCTGAGACATTGAAGATGCTTCAAGATGCCTATAGTGAATCTGCTATGAAGCATTCTCAACTTTATGACTGGCATAAACACTTTTGTGAAGAATGGGAAAGTATTACTGATGATTTGCAAAGTGGTCATTCGTCGACATCATCATCTGAGGAGAAAGTATCAGTTGTACATAAGATTGTGAAGTCAGATAGACAACAGTCAATTGAGCAGATCATCAAGACAGCAGGAATTTTGGTTGGAAGTTTTAGTAGTTGTCATTCCATCCTCCATGATGAATTAAACATGCACCATGTTTACCAAGACATTGTGCTACAAATGCTCATGGTGGACCAGTGACAGACTCACAAGACATTATGTGGAGATCTCATCAAACTGACTGATAAGAATCTGGAATTTCTTGACAACACTATCACGGATGACAAACCTGATGGTTTTTGTACGATTTTCAACCAAAATGACAGTCCATGGATAGCCCAAGTCACCCACCTCACCACATTCCATGAAATTCAAGCATGACAGGAGTAAGGAGAAGGTCACGTTGGAAATCATCTTTGACTCCCAGGGGATTGTTCACTATAAATTTATATCCAAGGGTTGCACAGTCAATAAGGAGATGTATGTTGACATCATTCACTGTCTTAGAGGAGCTATCCACCAAAAACATCTGTGCCATTGGGAAAATAACACGAGTGCTTTTCCACAACAATGCCCCTGCGCATCGGTCTCTGCTGTTGAAGCAGTACCTGACCAAAACATGGAATGATCACATTAGAGCATCCACCATACTCCAGATCTCACTCTGTGCAGTTTTTACCTCTTCCTTCAGTTGAAAGATACCATCAAGGGACACTACTTCAATAATTCAGGTTAGGTTATACAGAGTGTAACATCTGCATTGCAGGCAATTGCAAGACTACTTCGAAGAATGTTTTCAGCAACTTTACTAGCATTGGCAAAAGTATGTGGTTACCAAAGGACAAGACTTTGAAGGACATATTGCTTGATTTGTCAATTGTATGCATACTTTTGAGTAATAAACCAAATCCAGGAACTTTTTGAAGCTACCTTGTATATAGACAGATAGACAGATGAAAAGAAATTTACTGTTCTGAATGAGGATTCTGTAATATAAACTAAGTTCAGATCCATTTTGAAATACATCTCCATAATCAAAATATTTGGGAAAAGCAGTTTTTATTCAAATTACATAAAAAAACTTTCAGATTTTTTTCATCAGAATTAAACAAAATCTTTAGATTCCAAAACAAAAATAAAAAAAAAGTACTTTTTTGAAATTGATCAAAGATAATTTTTTAAACATTCAAAATTTGGTTAAAGTATACCTAGGTAACCCCAATGACGGTGCTTCGGTGAGGTTAGGTTAGATTAACTATATTTTTAGTAGATGTTTTCCTTTTTTTTTATTTTGTTCAAGAACTACCATGAATCAATAACTAGTGATGTTAGGCACTCAGTGACCTGCCAGCGGATCTCTCCAGGAGGAGTTTGTTGGGACCGTGAAAGCGCCGCCATTGGTGTTACCTAAGTATACTTTGACCCAAAATTCAAATGGTAACATGCTTCATTTACTTGCTCCCAATATATATAGACTATTCATAATAAAAATTTTGTGACAATTCATCAATTCCTGGTGTCATGATTTCTACTTTTTCCCCTATGATGAGAAAAAGTGTTATGACAATTTTAAGCATTTTTAAAATCAGTTGACTAATCAACTTATAGCTTAATGTTTATATGTATTTGAAGACATTAGATGTAACAATAACTTTCTAACTATGAAAGAAGATTACTTAAAATCATAAGTTTAGATTTAACCAGAGAGAAAAGCAAATTTAAATTCTAATGTAATTGTAACTTAAAGAAATTAAAAAAACTGTAGATATTTAAACTGACCAGAAGGTATATTCTTTTGATTTAAAACAAAATTTTGTTTTGATATGTTATTTTACAAACAATTAATAAAAATAAAAAAAATTTTATTTTTATGAAGAGCTATATTTTTAATTAAATATAATTTTCCTTAATGAAGAGAAATTCTTAATCACCGTATGAAATCATTCATTAGAAATGAATTCAGCTCTATATAATATAAATCATAATATTGATTTAACATTTTAATCTTTTTATATTTTGAATTAAACATACTTATTTTCAGCCCAATAAAATAAAAATGTTTAATTTTCAAAATTTTATATTTTTATTTTCAGAAAGAAAGTTGAGGAATTTGTCAAAACAGAAAATATGACACTCAAGTTATCACCTTGTAGTAGTTTTCAAAGAAAATTATTATATGAAACATTAAAAAACAAATATCCATCAGGCTTGGAAATGGAAACACAAGTAATGGAAAATAATGATAGATATATAGTACTAACAAAAGCAACAAAAGAAGATATTCAGAAAAAATTACATTTGAAATTTGAATCTGAATTGGTAAGTTTTGAAATTTATGATTGTGGTTTTTTAAATCTTGAAAATTATGTTTACAATCAGAAGTTAAATTATTCTTGTTAAAATAAATTAAAAATAAGTGTAATTTAAAAGAACGATCAAACTTATGAGTGTCAACTGGATTCCAGAACTTTTTACAAAAACTTTCGATTTTTAGACTTACCTGATACAGTGATTTTTATTCTATTGTTGACATACATAAAACCAAAACACCATGTACTGTAAACCAGTTAAATATTCCTAAACTATACAATGCTAAATTTTAAAATCTAAAAATTTCCAAATTCTCCAATAAAAAATCATACATACCTTGATGTAATTTTATTTAAGTTACCTGCAGAGTTCCATTTTTTACATTGTATATAGTACCAATAATGTTGCACATGTCATCGAATAGCAACCATATACTGCCTAACATAAGTTTAGCACTCTGCAAATCATCCCATAAACTGCATTTCAACATTAAATAATTTGCACATACATATTTACACATTTATAACTTGCATATTTATATATTCATTAAATTGCATATTTATTTATTATATATTTAAAAGTTTTTGTAAAGCAATATTTTGCTACTATTATGTATTGATAAATATTGTTAGCCAAAAGATGAGGGGCACCAGCCCAAAATGCATATTGACACTTAAAACAATTAGTTTAAAGACTGTAAAATACATAAGAAAATAAAATGGATGTGAAAAAGTCCAGTGTCTAGTGTCAACACTTCATGGTGTCTCAAAATATAACATAAAGAAAGGCCAATTTTAACACAGAGATAATCTTGAATGCTAAAGTGTCCTTATTTGACTTGATATTTATGATTTTATTCATAGTCATGTTGTGCAGAGCTATTCATGTTATGATGAACTAGTTTTCAGATCTAAGCATCTAAAGTAAAATGATCATCCAGAACTCAGATGTTCTAAAAGTATAATTTTCGAACATAAATTTTAATGTAACATTTAGGATAGTGAAAAGTTTTTTGAAAGCATCAATTTTGAGAAAGAATAAAACAAATTAATTGATTTTAAAAATTTATTTTTAAAATGCAGTTAAAAATGTATTGAATTTTAACTGCCCTTTAAAATGACTTTTAGCAATTTAATCTAAAAACATTATAATTTGCATAACATTATAATACATAAACATAACATTTGTTATTAACAATAAGTTTTTGTAGAAAAATTGTAAAACAGTTCTAAACATTATAAAAATACTTTTTTAATATTTAAATCAAATTTTAAGTTATAAGTTGATTAAATATCAAAAAAAGAAAATAAATAAAATTATTTCTTTTCATTAAACTGTAAGGGCATTTCTGGGCAGATTTATATAAATTTAATTCACTCTTGACTATTGATATTTACATAACAGTTAGTGTAACTATTAGTTATCCAATGGTTCTAATCTCTCCTACAGGATTATCCTTAGTTTATATTGGAAAGAGGACTGAGTGGTTCACATTTTGCAAGGAAGTACTTATCAATGTAAAGAATTTTAGCACTTGTTGAATTATGAAATACACATTGTTATACTTATTTGTATATTACAGGTAACCCCCGTATAACACGGTAGTTACGTTCCAAAAAATTGCCGTGTTATGCAAATCCGTGTTATACGAAACAAAGAACTAATACGAAAAGGAGGGTTAGGTTCCAAGAATTAAAAGACATGCTAATATATTTTCATAATTAAGATAAATATCTTCATTAAAATTTTTTTAAGTGATACATATTAATATAAATTAAACAATATTTTCTTCATCATTACTAAAAACACTATTAATTAACCGAGAGCGTTTTCTTTTTGGCAAGTTATCCTTATCCTCTAAGCATTTTTCTGCATTATCTTCAGATCCATGCTTTACCTTTTGCAAAATGTATGTAATTTTAGATTGCTTGCTTCTAGTTAAAAAGTCTTTATAACTTTCCTTATATGGTGCTAAGCACTTATGAAGAATAAAGCAAGTATGGAATAAGGGAAAAACATTCGGCAACACTAGAAGCAGAAGCGTCGCGATCTGGCAACATTGAAACAAGTTTCGAGAAGGACCACGTGTATCGACAGAAGGCGAGAAGAGAAAATTTACATACTTAAGTACAAATAGTTTACGAAAATAATAATTTTCGTGAACTATTATTAGTTAAGTATGTAAAAATTTATTACATTTCCTGTTGTACGAGGGTTTTACCCAATTCTCAAACCGTGTCAGAGTGAATCCGTGCTATAAAAGTACCGTGTTATACGGGGGATGGTACCAATTCTCGAACCGTGTTAGAGCGAATCTGTGCTATAGAAGTGCCGTGTTATACGGGGGTTACCTGTACTTGTATTTAGCCGTAGTAATTTTCAAATAATATAGATATTAAGAAAAAATTAAATAATAATACCACAGGAATCATTCTATGACTTTGATATTCATTATAGTGTTTTTTATCATCTTAATTAGTTGGTTTTGAAGAATTCCCAGATTCATTCAAAATTATATAGTTTATGTGTAAAAAGACAAGTTTATTTACAATTTATATATGTACAGTCTGGTTGTAATAATAATAAATAATTTGTATTGAACCAATGCAATACTATTCTTGGAGAATTTTGAACATGAGATCCCATGTTTAGAATGTAGTTTTGTGAATCTGTCTGTAATTAGAGATGTAAATTACTTAATTGCATACAGATCCAACTTATGATTTTCTAGTACTTCAGCCATAAGATCCTAAGCCCACATTGAATAATTAGTCATTTATCCAACTTTTCCAAAGTTGATGAGTGATTTAAACTTCAGGTGATCTGTCTTTCTGAAGTTAGCACACACACTATGACAATTTCTATTCTGGAAAAGTAGTATGATTCTGAAACTATGAGTCACTAAACAACATAAGAATGATGTTTAGAAGCTTCATTCTCTCTTGTCAAGCTTACTGTATAACTTCTTTACAGTGTTTCAGAGAAACAAACTATCAATTCAAGATTTTTGATTGTTTCCTCATCAAAGTCCAAACTGTGCTTCATGTGGTTCATTCTAAAATGTTTTGTTTTAAAAAATCAAATAATGATCAATTCTGCTTTTGTTGATGTAGAATTCTGACAGTTATTACATTTTTCTATATTAGATTACTTTTTAATTTAAAATGATTAATTGTTATATTGTTAAATATGTTTGTGATGATGAAAGAATTAAAGAATGATTATCTAAATTATATATCAAATTTTAATAATTTTTATATTTGTTTTAGCATTTGAAATTTATAATATATTATATATACACAGTAGTACCTGAGGATACGAAATTAATCTGTTCCTAAACTGAGATTGTATCATGAAAATGTTGTAAGGTGAATCATTTTTCTCCATATGATTACATGTAAAACCAAATAATCTGTTCGAACACGAAAAACACACTCAAATTAAAGCTAAGTAGTACATAGAAAAAAAGTAACTTTAGTAAGGAAAACACTGAAAAATGCATTTTGTGGTTGTAAATAATAATAGAATAATAATTGATTTTAAAAAAATGTAGTTTTATTTGCACTTTATCATTGAGGATAGATGATGGTGGAGGTGTAAACTGGTAGTGGAGGAGAGGGAGAAGGGAAATAATACTAAAACTTAACTTACATAATATAATGTAACAATAACTTAACACTAATTATTTTATCTTTTCTGTTTTATATATATATATTTTTTTTAATTTTTTATTCACTGCTTTTTGCTTTCTTTCCTTCACTTCCACCAGCACTTTCACTGGATAGAGGTCACTTGGTAAAATATTTATCCAAAGAGGTTTGGCTTTGCCTACTTTTTAAAATGTTTCTAAAATGACTTAGGCAAATGTCATTAAACTGAGCAGCAATTGGTTAGTGTGAACTTTTTCGGGATGTTTTTTTTCAATAAAATCATTCACTTTCTGACAGTACCTCAAGATTTCCTTTATCAAGTGAGATGCTTCCATGATGAAGCAAACACACAGACTGAGACCAATGAACAGAAGGAACACATGATCATTGCTGTGGCACTGCAAACTAATGTAATGTCGTATGGTGAGTTTTTGTTTGTACTGTGGAACAAAAATATGTTTGAATTTCATGTCATATCCTGAAAATTTTGTATGCTGGAGCATTTGTATCCTGAGGTACTACTGTATATACTTTTTAAATATTAAATATTAAAAATTAAAGTAATAAATACAAAATTTAATTTTAAAATATATCAGATTGTGAAGATGACATTTTGAAAAAAACTTTATATTGACAATTAACTCAGCAATGATTATAGTTCAGCCTGGTAGGTAATCATCATCAGTACCAGTCACTTCTCTATCAATATCAATCACAATGTTTCCTTTGCTACAAACTTTCAATCCCATGAGCATAAAATGATTGGCATTTTTCTTTTAAGAAAGTCTGAAGCATTGCATATTGTCATTGAACCATACATTGGCATGACAGTATGGTTATGCAGGATATGGAATAGATCGTAGTCAGTTGGTACCAAGTCTGGGCTGTAAGGTGGATGAGGCAGAACCTTCCAGCCCAGACTGTCAGCTTCTCTAAGTGCTGGCATGCTGTTGTGGTGGTATTCAATTTTTGTATGACATTCTTTGATCTCGATGTTCAAACAATCCAGTTGTTCACAGTAGAATTCTTTTGTGGAAGTGATATTGGTTAGAAACAGCTCCATCATGATGTCAAACTAATGCAGATCATTGCCTTCTTCTGTACTGTTAGCTCTTTGATATTTGCAACAGGTTTGGTTGATCTTTGTTGCATTGTAGCTATTTTTGAAATGATAGAGCAACATCACATGTGCTCTTTTGAAAGTTTCATATTGTCAGACATTGCTGATGCATGTATTTCCAATGAAGTATATGATGAAACACTCTTTGGCTACTCTACTTATATGCCCACATTGAATGTTCTTGAACATTTTTTTAGTTGTTTTTAGAAAAAAATCAAAATATCTAAATTTTACCTTTACAACTTAATAATACATTAAAACCATTTAATTTAATTAGATTTAAAAAGTGATTTGTTTTTATTAATGTATAATTTGTTTACATAATGTATATAATAATTACATATGTTTTTATTTTAGAGTGAACTTGGTGATGCTGTTGGTTTTAGTAAAATTATTAAATTAATTTCAAAATCAAGAAAACTCGTTGTTGGACATAATATAATGTTAGACCTCATGTATACAATAAATAGTTACATTTATCCTTTACCTCAGGTATGTCTGAAAATTTTTATTTTGTACATTAATTCTTAATATGGTGAATTTTTGTTTTCTGCAATTGAGACCTTACACATTATTGTTGATAATAAATTGAAAGTGGATCATACAGCTAAAGTAGTATTGGTTTTGTTTAATTATTTTTAAATACTATTTCTGAAATATTTATTCTGCAAAATTTATGAACCTGAATATTGATTTTCATAAAAATTTGTAAAACAGTTTAAATTCTATATTAATTTCTTGTAGTGCAACAGGTTTTCTGTTACAATTACAATTTTTTCTGGAAACAGTTGAATAGGTTTTCTGATATATTTTAAAAACAAAAATATGAATAAAATTACCAAATTGATATCTACTTGCTAGAAACCAATTCTATCTTTATATCACTCCTAAACATATCCTCCTAAAAACTGAATAGGAAATGAGATTAATGATAATTGCTGCTAAACATAAAAAATATTATAGTACAATGTAAACAAAAGTGTCATTTCAAAAAGCAAATATATTTTTTTGCTTATTTCTCTGACTCTATTTATGTAACTGTTTAGGCTGCAATTTGAAAAAATTGTAGACCTATAAATTTCCACTGTCGTTTGTCTTGTGTCTGTCCTTCCATCTCTCCTTAATCTCAAGAACAGAGTTAGATAGATGAAAGATGAGACCCAATATATATTAGGGGCAGGAGGCCCAATTAAATATATATATATAAACTTTCGATGCAATGGGAAGTCAATGTTCTTTCAATTCAAAAATGTTCCTCTGAAAGGTGTTAGATAGATGATTGGCATGACTATATTGTTAAAAGTATAATGTACAGGAGCAAACCACTACTAATTTGAGGTGGAGAGCAAATACTTTAAATTAAATAGATTAAAAATTGCAGCCCGACATTGTGAAGATGTCACAATAAATAACTGTTTGTATAATGTTGTCTTTCTTAGATTTGATTTTACAAAAAATAAAACAAATTGAAACAGTTATATAAATAATTCTCTTCTTTAAAAAATCAGCATGAACTCATAAAAAAGAATTTTTAGAAATGTAAATAATTGCAAATAATTCCTATCTCAAACTTTAAATACTACATTGAATTTTAATACTTGCACACACTGGATAATATTTGGGGCAATTCTTTATAATTAGGACTATGCAATTTAAAACTAACAATTAAACTACATGAGCTGTTTATTTTGAAAGTGGCCTAAGTCCATTTATTTATAAATCGGGATATTTAACGATTTGCATTTTAAGTAATTTAAAAATATTGGTAATTGATAACATGGTGGTATAAATGTTTTTGTGTTTCTGAAAGTGTTTAATTTACTTAAACAATCAGTACAAGTATCTCTTGATTAATGTGGTTAATTAATCCCTTGATGCACTCAATAGAAATGAATGCTCTGATAACACAAACTTATGATCAATGACACCTGTAATATCTTTGGCAGATTGGACATGTTTTAACCATGTTAATGCTAATTTTATATTTCCATTTTGTCTTGTACAGCACTGTAAGCTATAATATGTTTTTCATTTCTAAGATTTTTTAGATGCTTCAAAATATATGATGCTACTTCCTGTGCATCTCTGGATACAATAGTGTCATCCCAGAGATACATGTAAACATTAATATCATGAATATTATGGAAACTCTGATTTAAAACATACATGCTTACGCTTGTAATATGCAACTTAGTAAGGCAGTGCTTTTTATTAGTCGAAAGAAAAAGTGAAATAGTGATCTGGATTATGTAAAGCTAGATCTTGGTCTTGTTTTAATGATTTTCTAGCCAATTTTGCTTGTGTTTAATGAGTATCATGTTCTTTCATAACGTTTGTCTTTTCTTTGCCATTATTTGATCCCTTAATTTTAATGTTTAATAGATTACATTTTTGGCATGTATCTTTCTGCAGTTGGTGGAAATGTAAACTAAAATTGTAAAGAAAATTTTAGTTTACATTTCTGTAAGTCCATCCACTCATTAACAGTGCTTGTTTTATTTTCTTTACATTCAAACAAGTATAAATTAAACATCTTTATATTTAGAGTAGGATGTAAGAATTTTTTGTTAGGATTATGCAATCTGGTATAATGAGATTCAAATTTAGGAATTTGAACAGATTTTTTTTCTTATCAAATTTTTCTGGATGATCCACTCATATGCTCATGTAAATCATTTCTTGGATTTCAGATTTTAAAACATATTTTAACTGTTGTTCAGTTATATTAAAGGTATCCAAAAAAATTTTTTTATAAGCAAAAGCTTTCCATGAGTAGTATTTAAAAAATACTTAAAACTATAATTTCTTGATAATCCTTCACCATTTTTTTAAATGTTTTCTTTTCACAATAAAGTGCTTAGTAGCTTCATGAAATAATATACAGTTGACCCCCTATAACACTGTTGATTATTCCATTTTATATGAATTCCATGTTGTACAAGTTACTAGATTTTACAAATATGTGTGCCAGGCTGTGAATGGCTCATGTATTTGTAAAATTTAAATGACTCGTACAACATGGAATTCATATAAAATGGAATAATCAACAGTGTTATAGGGGGTCGACTGTATTTTGCTTATTAAAAATTACCCAAATTCTAAAACTTGTCAAAAATATTTTCCCTCTCTTCTGCATTGAAAAATTTTATACAAGCCTTTAAACAATGGCAATCTTTGTTTTGGAATACTTTTGCAGGTATAATTTTTGCAGTTTGAGTATAATATTTCTTTCTACATTCTGCTTGATTTTTCACAATTTTTGGATATAAGCATCATCATTCTTTTTTCTTAACTTTTCTTTTGTGGAATAAGAGGTATCATCAACTAATGCATTGTTTTCATCCTCTGTTGATAAATATGTTTCTATAATTGTTTTTCTCTTTCTGATATTATTTTTTAAGTCATTGCTTTCTTATTCAAATATTCTTGTTTTTTATTAATTCCCATTTTTATTATAATAAAATAAAAAATAATGAAAACTTTGTTACATTATCTGATTTATTTTTAACAAGAATAAGTCAATTTTTTTCTTACCTACATCAGTGTCTGAGGAAACTTGAAGGTGAACACTTCTGAATTTATATTAAAAACAAAGTTAGAATTTCAAACATTGATGCATTGTTTGTTGTTGTAAAATTATGTTGTATTTAATGGATTTATTATTATAATAATTTACTAATAAAATTTTACTCCATAATATACTGCATATTAGTTGGAAAATTGTCAAAGTGGACTTAGGCCACTTTCAAAATAAAATATTTATTATTATATTAATTCTGGTTAATAAAATAATAAAAATTTTCTGTTTCCAAAATCTTAATGAATTTTGAATATAATAAGCTGCAAATTGTTTAAAATGAAAAATAATGTAGAATTGTAAACATTATAACAGCTGACTTAACTTTTTTGGAAATGGACTTAGGCCACTTTCAAAATAAATGGCTCATATTTTATCATGTTGTACTACTATAGTTTTTTTATTGTTTACAATGCATATTATTTTTTACAGTAATTTAATTAGCAGTTTGAGATGCACACTAAGTGAAGATAATATAAAATAAATTATTGTTACGATTTACAATGCTAGCTATTCTTGAAATTTAAAATTTAGGATTAATTTTTAAATTAAATTATATGTAATTCAAATTTTTAAGAAGACTAAAATATAGCTGTTTTGTAAATATAACTGTTTTGTAATTGAGTAATTTTTATGGTAAAGATACTTTCAGTTTAGTTTAGAATGTTAAAAATCTTCTGAGATAAAGCTCTGTAAAATTTGTTAAAGGATCTTTTAATCTCTTTAGAGGGTCAGGTTATTGAATTTTACTGTTTTTGAAAATTGAATATTTATTAATAACACAGTATTAATAATAAATTAATAATTTAATTTATATTTTTTATAGGAATATAATGATTTTAAAGAGATGTTGAAATGCACATTCCCACAAATTTTAGATACGAAAGTATTGGCCAATTCTGAACATTTGAAGGTATTTATAATTTAATTTTCTCATCTACATTGATATAAAATATTAATAAATTATTTTATATGATATACCTTTTGATTTTGCAATTGAATACAATGTATTTTTAATTATGTTTATGTTAAATTGTATTTTAATTTATCAATTAATATTTTATTTGATAAACAACCTGATTGATATTGTAAAATGCAATATCTATTTATACTAACTTGCAAGTAGGCCATAATTATAACTGTAAGAAGAAAGAATAAGTTGGTTTATTGTAAAATACAGTATTATTTGATATCTATACTAATATAATAAAGAGGTAATGTTTGTATGTTTGTATGTATGTAANGCATAAAATGATTGGCATTTTTCTTTTAAGAAAGTCTGAAGCATTGCATATTGTCATTGAACCATACATTGGCATGACAGTATGGTTATGCAGGATATGGAATAGATCGTAGTCAGTTGGTACCAAGTCTGGGCTGTAAGGTGGATGAGGCAGAACCTTCCAGCCCAGACTGTCAGCTTCTCTAAGTGCTGGCATGCTGTTGTGGTGGTATTCAATTTTTGTATGACATTCTTTGATCTCGATGTTCAAACAATCCAGTTGTTCACAGTAGAATTCTTTTGTGGAAGTGATATTGGTTAGAAACAGCTCCATCATGATGTCAAACTAATGCAGATCATTGCCTTCTTCTGTACTGTTAGCTCTTTGATATTTGCAACAGGTTTGGTTGATCTTTGTTGCATTGTAGCTATTTTTGAAATGATAGAGCAACATCACATGTGCTCTTTTGAAAGTTTCATATTGTCAGACATTGCTGATGCATGTATTTCCAATGAAGTATATGATGAAACACTCTTTGGCTACTCTACTTATATGCCCACATTGAATGTTCTTGAACATTTTTTTAGTTGTTTTTAGAAAAAAATCAAAATATCTAAATTTTACCTTTACAACTTAATAATACATTAAAACCATTTAATTTAATTAGATTTAAAAAGTGATTTGTTTTTATTAATGTATAATTTTTTTACATAATGTATGTTATACGGGGGATGGTACCAATTCTCGAACCGTGTTAGAGCGAATCTGTGCTATAGAAGTGCCGTGTTATACGGGGGTTACCTGTACTTGTATTTAGCCGTAGTAATTTTCAAATAATATAGATATTAAGAAAAAATTAAATAATAATACCACAGGAATCATTCTATGACTTTGATATTCATTATAGTGTTTTTTATCATCTTAATTAGTTGGTTTTGAACAATTCCCAGATTCATTCAAAATTATATAGTTTATGTGTAAAAAGACAAGTTTATTTACAATTTATATATGTACAGTCTGGTTGTAATAATAATAAATAATTTGTATTGAACCAATGCAATACTATTCTTGGAGAATTTTGAACATGAGATCCCATGTTTAGAATGTAGTTTTGTGAATCTGTCTGTAATTAGAGATGTAAATTACTTAATTGCATACAGATCCAACTTATGATTTTCTAGTACTTCAGCCATAAGATCCTAAGCCCACATTGAATAATTAGTCATTTATCCAACTTTTCCAAAGTTGATGAGTGATTTAAACTTCAGGTGATCTGTCTTTCTGAAGTTAGCACACACACTATGACAATTTCTATTCTGGAAAAGTAGTATGATTCTGAAACTATGAGTCACTAAACAACATAAGAATGATGTTTAGAAGCTTCATTCTCTCTTGTCAAGCTTACTGTATAACTTCTTTACAGTGTTTCAGAGAAACAAACTATCAATTCAAGATTTTTGATTGTTTCCTCATCAAAGTCCAAACTGTGCTTCATGTGGTTCATTCTAAAATGTTTTGTTTTAAAAAATCAAATAATGATCAATTCTGCTTTTGTTGATGTAGAATTCTGACAGTTATTACATTTTTCTATATTAGATTACTTTTTAATTTAAAATGATTAATTGTTATATTGTTAAATATGTTTGTGATGATGAAAGAATTAAAGAATGATTATCTAAATTATATATCAAATTTTAATAATTTTTATATTTGTTTTAGCATTTGAAATTTATAATATATTATATATACACAGTAGTACCTGAGGATACGAAATTAATCTGTTCCTAAACTGAGATTGTATCATGAAAATGTTGTAAGGTGAATCATTTTTCTCCATATGATTACATGTAAAACCAAATAATCTGTTCGAACACGAAAAACACACTCAAATTAAAGCTAAGTAGTACATAGAAAAAAAGTAACTTTAGTAAGGAAAACACTGAAAAATGCATTTTGTGGTTGTAAATAATAATAGAATAATAATTGATTTTAAAAAAATGTAGTTTTATTTGCACTTTATCATTGAGGATAGATGATGGTGGAGGTGTAAACTGGTAGTGGAGGAGAGGGAGAAGGGAAATAATACTAAAACTTAACTTACATAATATAATGTAACAATAACTTAACACTAATTATTTTATCTTTTCTGTTTTATATATATATATTTTTTTTAATTTTTTATTCACTGCTTTTTGCTTTCTTTCCTTCACTTCCACCAGCACTTTCACTGGATAGAGGTCACTTGGTAAAATATTTATCCAAAGAGGTTTGGCTTTGCCTACTTTTTAAAATGTTTCTAAAATGACTTAGGCAAATGTCATTAAACTGAGCAGCAATTGGTTAGTGTGAACTTTTTCGGGATGTTTTTTTCAATAAAATCATTCACTTTCTGACAGTACCTCAAGATTTCCTTTATCAAGTGAGATGCTTCCATGATGAAGCAAACACACAGACTGAGACCAATGAACAGAAGGAACACATGATCATGGCTGTGGCACTGCAAACTAATGTAATGTCGTATGGTGAGTTTTTGTTTGTACTGTGGAACAAAAATATGTTTGAATTTCATGTCATATCCTGAAAATTTTGTATGCTGGAGCATTTGTATCCTGAGGTACTACTGTATATACTTTTTAAATATTTTAAATATTAAAAATTAAAGTAATAAATACAAAATTTAATTTTAAAATATATCAGATTGTGAAGATGACATTTTGAAAAAAACTTTATATTGACAATTAACTCAGCAATGATTATAGTTCAGCCTGGTAGGTAATCATCATCAGTACCAGTCACTTCTCTATCAATATCAATCACAATGTTTCCTTTGCTACAAACTTTCAATCCCATGAGCATAAAATGATTGGCATTTTTCTTTTAAGAAAGTCTGAAGCATTGCATATTGTCATTGAACCATACATTGGCATGACAGTATGGTTATGCAGGATATGGAATAGATCGTAGTCAGTTGGTACCAAGTCTGGGCTGTAAGGTGGATGAGGCAGAACCTTCCAGCCCAGACTGTCAGCTTCTCTAAGTGCTGGCATGCTGTTGTGGTGGTATTCAATTTTTGTATGACATTCTTTGATCTCGATGTTCAAACAATCCAGTTGTTCACAGTAGAATTCTTTTGTGGAAGTGATATTGGTTAGAAACAGCTCCATCATGATGTCAAACTAATGCAGATCATTGCCTTCTTCTGTACTGTTAGCTCTTTGATATTTGCAACAGGTTTGGTTGATCTTTGTTGCATTGTAGCTATTTTTGAAATGATAGAGCAACATCACATGTGCTCTTTTGAAAGTTTCATATTGTCAGACATTGCTGATGCATGTATTTCCAATGAAGTATATGATGAAACACTCTTTGGCTACTCTACTTATATGCCCACATTGAATGTTCTTGAACATTTTTTTAGTTGTTTTTAGAAAAAAATCAAAATATCTAAATTTTACCTTTACAACTTAATAATACATTAAAACCATTTAATTTAATTAGATTTAAAAAGTGATTTGTTTTTATTAATGTATAATTTGTTTACATATGCAAATA